AAAGAAAATGATGGAGAAGGGAGTGCTCCCAGATGCAGCAATATATAATGTCCTAATCAGTGGCCTTTGCAAGAAAGGGATGCTTCCCTCTGCAAAGAAGCTAGTTGCTGAGATGCTTGATCAAAATGTCATCCTGGATGAATTTGTTTATGCCACTCTTGTTGATGGATTTATCAGAAATGAAGATCTCAATGAGGCAAAGAAGGTTTTTGAATTCATGGATCAGAAAGGCATTAAACGTGGGATTGTTGGTTATAATGCCATGATCAAAGGTTACTGCAAATTTGGTATGATTCATGATGCAATTTTATGCATCAGTAGAATGAGGAAGGATGGTTACCTCCCTGATGAATTCACATACACAACAGTTATTAATGGTTATGCGAGACAAGGTGACTTAGATGGGGCTATGAGAGTATTCATTGATATGATGAAGCATAGATGCAAGCCCAACGTTGTCACGTATTCTGCTCTAATCAATGGATATTGTCAGATCGGAGACACAGATACAGCAGAGGTCCTTTTCAAATATATGCAGCGTAATGAGATCACCCCTAATGTTGTTACATATAGCATTCTTATAGGAGGCTGTTGTAAAATTCATAGAATGGCTAGAGCTATTATTTACTTTGAAGAAATGCTGCAATATAAGTGCCTACCTAATGACTTCACATACCGTTACTTAATTAAAGGGCTAACAGATAGTATTTCCAATTGCGAGATAATTAATAGCAATGATCTTCAACATCGACACGAGTATGCAACTTTAAATATCTACAAAATTATGGTTCTTGAAGGTTGGGATCACAAGACTGCAGCATATAATGCTATCATATTTTGCCTTTGCAAACATCGAATGCTTAGAAGTGCATTGGAGCTGAGAGATAAAATGATTGAAAAAGGTTGTTTACCTGATCATATCACAGTTGTTTTCCTTCTCCATGGGGCCTGTGCAGAAGGGAAGCTAGAAGATTTGAAGAGCACTCTTTCTTGTCATTTTCAGCAGAATGAATTTGAGGTGGCTCTTAAGTATGCAAGACTTGTAGACAAGTACTTGTATCAAGGAGAAAGATCTGAAGCCTCCATGATCTTGGAGACATTACTTGAAGACAGGGCACAATCACCTGAATTGGGCCACTGTGTGGCTCTTTCATATCAGTGAGTAGTTACTACTGAGATCTACCAGTGCTTATGAGGTGATAATTGAAGTGGAGTTGTTGCCAATTAAAGACTTATTGGACATTGTGCAGAAGATATCCTTGACCTTGGTCAAATAGGGTGGTCACAGTGAACTTTTTGCCATTAAGAGTTTCGAGGTATATTTCAAATGATGAAAAGAATGTGAACGAAAAAGGGTAATCGTTATTGAAAATCATCTCAAAGTAGAAAAAAAAGACTACCATGGCTTTACACTACTTACCAAGGTCACTAGTCAACCAGTTGGAGATGAGGTAACATAGTTTTGCTTCAGTGCATAATACATGTTACTTTTGGTGCCAAGCTTATGTTGATATTCTATGGCTAATTTCTGATTTTCAGGTTGGATTTCTGCCTTGTATAGAAGAGAGAGATATCAGTTTGCTGATCCAAAGAAAAAGAAGCTGCATGTGAATGGCTGGAATCTGGATAGCACTAGGTTCCTTAGTGGAATTTGGTGGAAGTTCATATCATGGTAAAGAACTTATTTATTGTCAACATTGTTGTCACTATATTGGAGTCTGCTGTTACACAAAGATGCTATTTATCATGTGAATTCACTTAGCTTTTTATTCTTTCAGTCAGTTGGCATTCAGCTTTTAGATGGAAAATGTATGCATAGTCCGTTTTTGAATAGTGGTGGCTACCAGTTCATCTTCTTTTGTGTGTGTGTGTGTGTATATATTAAGAATCCAGTCTGGTATATCTAGTATGAGAATCTTAATTTGGAACTCTATATGCTTTATATTGTGTTAGTGTGCATTGAGAGTTTCAAGGAAGATGACTTTGTGGTGACATTAATCAACAGTATGAAAGTCAAATACAATTATCTACTTTGAGTGCTCAAAATTTTCTTTCGACTGTAAATAAATTACATTAACTCCTTGATCAGAGTATTGTTTCCATATGTCATATATCTGAGCATAGGAAGGTGCGAAAAAATTTTCATTGCTATTGACGGAAAAAGTTAGTTGTGGAACTCACTCCTACAGATTCATTGTTTGGAATTTAGGGCCTGTTTGGCAACAAACACATACTAGGAAGTTAAGTTACTGCTGTACTCAGGTGTTGCTTCTTAAGAATCTCACATACTATTACTTCTATTATTATTGTTATTTGCTTTTGTTGCTTAGGTGATTTATAGTACTTCAGTGAAAAGAGGGAAAAACAGTCCCTGCTTAAGAGTTAAGACCATATATTGCTATACCTGACGTTGCCAACTAACATCATTCATTCAATCTTTTACTATATCCCAATTGTACGGATTGTTGTGATCTTCAAATGAGTCCCTTTCTGTCGCCCATTTCGCTATAAAATGGATAGGAAAAATCAAAATACTGCTGCTTCATTAACAATTTCTGCTGACAATTGCGTAAGGAGGGAAACCCTGTTTATGACCATATATTGCAACACTTTACATTTCCAACCAACATCTTCCCTTCAGTAATATTTCTCTATATCCCAATTATTCTGAGTGCTATAATATTCACAACAATCATTCCTCTTCTGTTTCACCGTAGATTGGATGAGCAAAATCATGTCTGCTTTATCAATAATAACTGCTGACAGTTGCTTCTAGAAGTATCAAAGACAAAAGTAAGCTTATTGCCATTTGCTTTTGAACCACAATCAGAGTATCAGTAACAAGATTGCTTGAGGTTCCATTAGGGGTTCATTCATCATTCCTTGTCATTTGGAGCTGAGTTCAATCTGACAAAGATTAGGTGATGACTGGAGCACTTTTTTCCTGTAAACTATACCATTTTTATACCTCTCCTTCCACCTTTTCCCTTCTCCAAATGAACTATAACTCAGAAATGGTTCCTTCACTATGGTTCAGAGACTGTCTAGGACACTGGACATTTTGTGTGATTACCCAGTTATTCATGCATGGTTTATGAGATGTTTTATGGATATTACAAATTCTCGAAAAGAACCTTTTTGGTACTCTTGCTGGGGCAAGACCCATATGGTTCTTCCGAACCTGGATTACAAAAGTAGTCTGAAGTGGCCAAATAATAAGAGGAACACATTTTAAATTGCTTGTTACTGTAGGTGTTTAGCATTATCTTGCAAGTAGAAGATAAGTGAGTTAGGGGTCTGAGGTATTCCCATTGAATGAAACACTTGTTAAAACCTATGGTTTTCTCATTTTCTTTTTCTTTTTATTTGGTGTATATGTTTGATTCAGGAACCCATGACCAAAGAGCTGTTGTTTCCTTGATCACACAGTCTAATAGTTGCAACTCATGACCTGTATACTCTGAAGCTCCCCTCCTGACTATTAAACGGATTCTTGGGATAATCACACGGCAGCTTCATTCAAGTCATTTACCAAACTGTAGAACTTCAAATTCATTTATGGTGATTGAAAGGGGGTTCAAACATCCTAAGTCTCAGTTAAATCACCAAGAGTTGCTGATGACTACAGGAAAGTTTGATCAGTACATCAGTTCACAATAGTTATGCTTTTATCTAGCAGTTGATACGAAATAGCATGTGTAACTTGATAATTTACAAAGATACAAAGGAAAGGAAAAAAAATGCAAGTCTTTTGGCATTGATAATTCTGGCACACTGTATTACAGGAACATTCTATTACATTCTCTCCAAGCCATGACCAAGTTGCAAGTGTGTTGTGTTGGATTGAGCCAACAAGGTGAGCCTGCGATTTTTCTAAAGAAGTGGAATTACTCGATGCTCTAGTTGATTATATTGGAGGCCTTCAAGCATTCTGAAAGGTACTTCCTAGACATTAGCAACGTATCTTTATATTTGTATTTAGTTGAATTTTGTATCTTCAATCATGGATGCATGTTCCGTTTCGTGCAATAGATGTGACTTTGCTCAAGTAATAGCTATAGCCATTTTTTATGCTTTAATATTCATAATTTTATGATGACCCATGCCAATGGCTTCTACAACAATGATTTCTCACGACTCTGCTAATCCTGTGTCAAACAGGGTGAAAACCATGGCTAAGTCTAAAGTCACTACGATAACTCTGATTAGTTGAATTCTCACCTCTTTCCCAAATTCTCTCTCTCAAGTAGAACACCTTTTGTCATTCCTCCTCCCAAATATATGCCACCGCCAATCCGGATCTGCCACATCTGTCTATCTTGATGTCCACTGCTGATCTTGCTCTCAACCACATAAGCAATGTCATCTCCACCTTCTCTGTCTGCACTAACTGGCATCTTGGAATTCTTGTAGCGTAGCTTTATTTTCTCTTATAGTACCAACAAATAGATGACGATGTTGATTGATTTGCATCTATCTATAACATTGATAAGGCCATGATAATTTGATTACTGGTTTGGTTTGAGCTTAGATTTATTGACATGGTGTGTGGAGTCTCAGATTTGACGTTGAAGACTCTAAACCCCCTCAAGTTCCTATGATCCCAGTGGCGATGCAAGAGAACCCTCCCTTCTCATGAAGTATATAAAAAAAAAAGGTAACATTTCTTTTGTGATTAACAAAATATCAATTTAAACAATCTCCTCCTCATCTTTTATATTTATTTTATTTTCCCTTTAATCTGTGCGGGATTTCTGTACTGATGAACATAAACTTCCACCTGTGAGTACGATCTAAGCAATAATGAAGCTGACCCAGACATGCATGCATGCAGTAGCTTCTGCTCAGTAGACCCACCTGTTTAAAAGACTAGCATATGACAGTAGAACCCGTTCAGCCATTCAATGATCAGTGATGCTGCAGGGATTCAGACAACCAACCAAAGTAGCAAAAACAATGTTGGTGAGTGGCACTGCACAAGAGATGCCAGAAGGTGATTCTGAAAACAAAAGCAATGCCTCAACATATGCAAGACATTATATTCATAATGAACAGGTAAACAACTCTCTCACTCTCTCTCTCTCACTCTCTCTCTCTCGATCTACATTAAACATGCTAGAGAGCAGGATTTATTTTCAGCACTGGTAATATATCAACTGATGCAGACACCATCACTCCATATAACCACATATACACGCATGGAAGAAGCAAGAAAGCACAGAGCTCTCTTTCACTCACTCTCTCTTAGGGGCACTTGGGCCTCCTCCTCTTGCCAACCCCTGTGTACTTGTCCCTATAACAAGGGCACTCATCCTTGTTCCCGTAGGTGCCGGACGGCACACATCGGCACGTCTCACAGCACAAGCCACAAAACTTCAAGCACCGGTCCTGTAAGCTAGCCTTGGAGCACCTCACCTTGCACTTGGAGTCACAGAACGCTGAAACCAACGGAAGATATTACTGCTAACACGTCATTGCAGGCATGTATTTTGCCAAGTTCTGAGTGTTTACCTGACCTTGCCATGGCGAGTTGGGCACAGGAGGAGGTGAAGAGGATGAGTAGAATTACTAACGAGGGATGTAGGAGCTTCATCGTGACACACTACTCAGTCCGAGTGATGAGTGAGTGTTGGGTGTGTGTGTTGATATTTATAGCAAAGTAGTGATGGGGTGGGAGATGGTTGGTGAGAGCTCCAGGAGCTGTGAGCTGGATTCCAGTCGATGGCCGCATGCTTGCACTTGTACGGCCTTCATCATGCCATCCATGTATGATGAGGTTGTCCTGTAGCGTTCATCCTCCTTGTCACGTGGGCCTACGCAGTCATGTTGATGCATCATATTACCTTCGCAAAGGTGGCAGACCCACCGGGAGATCCTATCCGTTGATCGTATCCATCTGGGGCGAGATTTACGGATTGATGGTTAGGATCAGACGCAGGCATTGTGCTCACGGCACCTCAATATTGCGTCAAAGGATGTGGACGTTAAATGGACCACCTCGGGGTTTTCCAGCTGTGAGTGGGGTCACGTTACCTTGCATGGCTGTGTCGTCGATCGGTATTCAGTGTCTTTGCACCTCGAGGTGGAATCTCCATGATGCCTTGTTGCTTCTCTCTCTCTCTCTCCTATTGCAAACTCCCACACCTTTTGCGGGTGGCTGATGTCCTCGTCAACTGGCGTTGGGATCGAAGTACGGCTTGTGAATGGGTCGGGTCAGATGTCAAGATGTGTCGGTGACGGATCCAACTCGACCCGATCCGTTTCCGGCTGGAAAAATAACTTTCGTTACCCCGCTGGAACTTACCTTACCCTCACTCTTTCTCTCGGTTAGAGGTTGCGGTGGCCTCGGGAGGTGGGCCGCACGGCCGACCCGGTTGAGTACTCTTGTGACGCAGCGAACCCATGAATAGTGTTTGGTCTTGTGCTTTTTTTAGGACGGGCATCAAATGAGGGTTTATATGAATTCTGTTGTTTATTTTGCTGGTTTTAGAATAATAAAATAGAAGTAAATGAGGAATTTTTTTTTTCCCTTCCGGAGATGATCATTCTTTCTCTCTTTTTAGCATTAATCAAGTTGCATAACATTTTCTTTATTCTTGATGCACAGATTAAAATATTAATTTGGCTATAAGGGTTTGATGATTAATATTAACTTTCGGTTCAAGTATTTTAAGTCAATGGTTCATGCTCAACAAAATTAGCAGATAAATTATCTTATCATGTCATATCGTGACAGCCCAAGTCCCATTCAATGAGTATTTTGTGTTTCACTGATTATAATGGCAACAACTTTGTTAGTCTGAAGCCCATAAGAAGAAATAAAAAAAAACCTGTAGTGCTTCTGTGAATCCACCAACAATTCCTCATAGTTTTTAGAACTTTAATTGCTTTATTATGCATGAGTTAAAGTTTTTCATCTCAATGTGATTGATATAACTGAGTTGCTCATATAACGTGCTGGTTTAATCCCATGTTGAAAGTATATCAAATCTAAGATTGACTTATAAAGATATGATGGATGTACTATTGTTAATTTCAGTTTAAACATTTTGAACCAATCAGGTTGGATCGTGATAACTCGAGTCTCATTCAATGAGCAAATATGTTCTGCTTCATCGATTAGAATAGCAACAAGTTGTTAGTCTGAAGCCCATAAGAAGACGTAAAAAACCCTTAAAGTGCTTCCATGAATCTACCAACAATTCCTGCTAGTTTTTAGAACATTAGTTGCTTGACTATGCTCTTCTTAGCAATGAGTTAAAGTTTTTCATTAATTTATCACAAGCATCCTTGATATTTTTCTGTCAGTCATACCAAGCAATCAATCCATATGCTCTCTTGCCATTCATGAAGTGTGCTATAGATTCGTCTCACTTTCTTGACTCTGTTCAAAGTTGGAATGATGTTGTTGCTGTGTCCTCCTCTGCAATTATTTGTCTTTGTTTTGAGTTGACCAGTTGTGGATCCAACTGTTTTCTCTGACTCTGGAGAAGGCTGTCAAAGAGATCAGCTGAGAGTCTCAATTGTTTTCTCTTCCTCAAAGACTTACTTGGGCACACTTATCTACTTCAATCTTCCTTCTTAAATCAATCTTCCTGTTCTTTAGTGTCTTCCATCATGCCTAACCACCCACTAATATGAAGCTTTGACATGTCCACCCACTGTAGAAAACGGTCAACAAAGTAGACTGTGGACAACATCAAGTGTTTATTTTCTCTTTCTTATTCCTTGTGAACCATTTAAGCTTAAATTTTTCCTTGAGCTATGTGTCTGACACCTCAAATGCAAGAGTTAAGTAGATTTTTCATGCATATTCTCAGGTGATTGTGATGAAGATAAAGGAATCAAGACAGTGATGGGATCCATTGTGTTACAAAGAACTAGAGCTTTTCTTTCAGATGTCTCTTCCTGATACTTAACCATTAAACCATCATCAACCTCACTGCTACATGGAGTCAGTAGATAAAAGTAGTAGTAGCAGCAGTCAAAGCTCCTAATAGAAGGATGATCCTTGATGCAGAGTTCATTATGATCATGAAAGCCTGAGAAAGCTAATAAGCCTCTTTTTCCTAGGGTAAGGGTCACAGAGTCAACTTTCTAAGTCAAACTTTAGACCAAAATGGCCCACACCAAGACTACTAAACAATACTGTGGTCCTTCAGTTCCCTAGTCTTTTGCCATCAACATCATAACATATCCTCATAGCACAGTCCTATTACATTGTTAGAGTTGTGAACACTACATGCCAATGTATCAGTCCCTGTTGAAGTCTTTATCAGCTAAGCTAACTGATATCTTCAATCAAAGAGATAGATGATGAGAAATATTTTTTAAGTTTGTTATATCAATTTAACGTTTTTAGGGTTTAAGATGTCGATATATAAAGATGATATTTCATAAGTTTCTACAATAACCATTGTTGGCGGCTATAAAAACATCAGTCTAACTTTTGCTGTCCAATTGCAGCTTCATAAGTTCCACTGTGCCACCTTGCTGTCTCTTTGGTTTGGCAATCTCTTCATGCAAACTATGAGGTCTGTTCCACTTTATTATAAGACTCTGAACCAAATTGGAGCAGAGTTGTTGTGACAATGGAATTTACTGATGATGTAAAGGAATGTTCACTGAGACTTTACAGTAGCACACAGTGCAGCAGACACAGAAGGCTTTCACCTTCTTCAGCTCTTATGATCAGTGAGAGCTGACAGGGAAAACAACATGCCAAATATAAAGCATGGAAGCCAGAGATGATGTCAAACATGGCTATTCTTTCATTACAGAATGAAGCAAAAAGGAAAAGAACTTGACCACAAAGCATACAGATTGAATGCAAGACGACAATGACAACAATAACCAGAGTGGTTCTCGTCGCCGTCACCGGCGGCGGCCGAACGAGTGGCTACCGAATCCTTTGGAAATGCTGAGCACAGCCGGGTTGAAGCGCAGGCAGCCAAAGAGGCCCTGCCGATACGGCAGGGGTGTCTCGGTCGATCTGAAGCTTGAGTGCTTGGCGTCCTCGGCGACGACTTTCTTGCTCGATGTTGATGACAGCAAGGTGTACTTGCGGAGAGGGTCCTTGCTCCGGTTGCCGGTGGCGCGTCCTTCTGACGCGCTCCGGAACAGAAGCAAGTCCCTCAGCCGCCACTTCTTGCTTCCACCGCCGCCGCTCTTCAGGGTGGGGCTTGTGGAAGAAGAAACAGGGGGAGGCGTTGGTGTCCTCTCCCTCCGTCTATCCTTCGTCGCTTCCACCATCGCCGCGGTGAAGGGGTCGAACTCTTCTCCCCCGGCGCTCCTACCGCGATGGCGGGGAGACCACAACCCCCTCGCCCTCGGCGAGGAGGCCACGCTGCTTCTGTCACCCGCAGCTGGATACTGCAGGCGAGGAGGTGGCTTAAGTGGCCGAATCTTCCCTTCTTCGAAGAGCTCGTCGGCGGTGGTGAGCATCGGTAGGCCTTCTTTGTCACCGAAGTCGAAGGCGAAGTCGAACACGTCGCCCTTCTCATCCTTGGCGGGGCTGCCGCGGGACTTGGGCGTGCCGGGCGTCTCCTCCCAGTCGAAGGGGACGCCGCCAGCCGAGGGCGGGGGAGGGAGAGGATCCATGGTGTTGAAGTGGGAGTAGATGGCGGAGGCGCGCGAAGGACTGGTGGGCGCGCTGGTGTAGTGGTGGAAGAAGTCGAAGTGGTGGCCGACGCGCTTCGGGCTCGACGGTGCGCTCACGGAGGGGCTAGTGTATGTGCTGGCGAAGTGCAAGTCTCTCACCGGCGCCACCACCTCCATCGCTCTCCCTCTCTCTCTCTCTCTCTCTCTCCTCCTCCTTCCTTCCTCCTATGAGAACATATGAAACAGTGCCATGGAAGCCTTAAATGGAGATGGTTGTGGAGAAGGTGAGAGGAAAAGGACGGAGAGTGTCATCCTTTGACCGACCAAAGAGGGAAGACCAAAGCAAGAATCTAATAGTAGATTTAGAATACAGCCGCCTTTTATTACGCACACAGGTATGATTTAGACACCATTAATTGACATTGACATTTTGTGTCTTTTGTCCATTTTTTAAGGTCTTCCCACCCATATTTTCCCAAGCATCCAAAACACACCTTTTTTTTCTTTTGTTTGAATCCCCGTTTTTTTATTTATTCATAAATAAAATTCTCACATATCAATATCAATATTATATATATATATATATATATATATATATATATATATATATATATATATATATATATATATATATATATATATACAGTGGAAAATGATGAGGCTTGGTGGGACAAGAATGGTCAAAGGACACTAAAAAAAATGGAGAATGCTTGTCGTTTTAGAATACAAGTCGCATGCGAGGGAATGGTCCAATGGAGGAGGGAGAATTGGTGGCTGATATTGGATTGAAAATAATATCAAAAACATTATTGAAGAATATTATACCAAGAAAATGATATCAACAACATTATCAAAGAATGCTTTGTCAAGTAAGGTTGGCGAGGGCTAAGGAGTCTACCCACCAAAGAAGTTCTATTGAAAGACATCGTAATTAGATGATGTGTGGAGAAATCAAGTGAAAATAAAATATTGTTTTTTTTTCTTATTGACAATCCTTTACTTAACACAATCATAAATAATAATAATAATAATAATAATAATAATAATAATAATAATTTTACTAAATATAACCCCTTAATTATCAATAATATCTTTATTTCTCATAACTCTTTAATTGGCTCAAGATATTATATCTTATGTAAATTAATTTAGAAGATGACGTCGATATAATAAATATAAAAAACTATTTCTCATCTCATTCTTTTTTATTTTTGATAGTCTCATTTGATTATTTACCTTTTTTTCCCCTCGGTTTATGTCATCTTCTGATGATTAAGAGAAGAAAAATAAATTGTATGGAATGAATTGGAAGAGTCTGTTGAAATTAAATAAAGTTAAAAATATTTACGTTGAGAGGTATCTTAAGAATATTTTTTTAAAAATAAAAATAAAATTATTTATAGTAAAAATGAGGTTATAAAATAGAATTTTGATAAAAGAATGATACCAAGATTTTGATGGAGGATCACTCGCGGCTCCTCCGCGAACCCCATCGGCCACCAGCTTATGAACCCCCACGAGCTCTCAAGCTTCTCCCTAAGCCATGGCTCCGTCGCGTCCCCGCCCACTGCGTCCTTGCCCCAGAAGTACGGATGGATGAGCACCAGCCCCTCGACGCTCGCGCCGCTGGCTATGCCGTCCGCGCCCGCCTGCAACACAGTATGTCGTGGGCCATGTTGGCTCCGGGCTATCGCCCGCCAGGCAGATCCGCCTCCGGGTTCCCGCCGGCGTGCGCGGCCACCCATCTGAGGGCCGCCATGGAGTCGTCGTCGTCTGCGGGGAGCGGGTGCTCGGGCGCGAGGCGGTAGTCCACCGTCACGACAAGCACGCAGGCGCGGGCCACGAGGGAGTGGACAAAGTCGTGGTAGGTGGAGGAGAAGGGCGAGCCGATGACGAAGCCGCCGCTATGCATGCAGATGAGGATGGGCAGCTTCTGCTTCTCCTCCTCCTTTTTCATGTACGTCCCAGCAAAGCTCGGGAGGACGAGGCAGGTGGCGAGGTCGATGATGACGTCCTTGGAGGTGACGCCGAAGAGGCAGGCGTTTGACGCAGGCCACCCTTGCTGAGGTAGAGGAAAGGGGAGAAGCCGTTGCCCGTACCCATCGGAAAACGAGGGCGTGGCGTCGTCTCATGCCTTCTGCCCTTATCAATGTGAGAGTGAGTGAGAGAGCACACAGTACATGATTTTATTAACAGATTCTAACTAACAACGATAATAATCCATTACTACAATGGAATTAAATCCTCATGAAAGCACATAATATCGTTGGATAACACATCTTACAGGAGAAATTAACATTGATATAACTCAAATATGACATATACATTGAAGGAAGGAAGGAAGGAACATGAGCCGGTTTAGGAGGGGAATATAGCTAGACCAAGCTCGGGTCTAGAAATCTAAATAAGATTCGCATATCAGAAGACCTACAGCTCCTCAATAAGGAGTGAATCAGCACATTGACCAGGGCAACATAACTATATTTATGGAGCCTATCTATCAAGCAGGAAGATGCAATATAAATCAAGTTTAACCCATGCCAAGTTGTCAATATACAAATAATGAGCAAAGGATACGTCTAAGCATTTAAACTTGTCATCATCACATGCCAATTTCTAATGTTAATCAACCGATGTATGACTGCAACAGTGAATCCAAATGTTTTGCAACCTAAACTTGGAAAGGAATTTGATGCCTCTGACAATTTACAAGGGCATAAAGAATGCATGAAAGAAAACCTTACTGTCATATTGAAAAATTGCCGGCAACAGGATGAAACAACAGCCAGATAATTTTAATGCCGTTGTAAATGGATGGAGGCAGGCAGTCTGTTTATCATGTGATGTGGCTCTGAACCCTTTTCTGGAAGTTCTGCTGCAGCATTTAGGAGAACCGTAATGTTTATGCACCCACAACACCTGAAATCCATGGCACAACCACAGGGGCATTGGAATGATCGGTCCTGTATGACTCTGAATACTTGTCTTTAAAGTTCACCCGAGGTTCTACAGCCTGCATTTGACAAAATAAGTCGCTTGCTCATTAGGGGAAAAGTAAAAGGAAGGTGCAAATGTCAGCTGAAGGATCTTTCGCAAAACATGCATCATAAATAGGCATGTTAAATGAAAAAGCCAGACAAACTCAGATATTTGATTTGGTCTTATCCAGATCAATTGGTTTGATTAGGTTCAGAAAATTAGGACCCAAACAACTTCAAGTTCAGTTTGGTTCTTAGTTCAAATATATTATCCTAAACCAAATTAAAATGACAATTTAAAGAAAGTGAAAAGTGGGAGTCTTGGATCAGAGTTCGAGTTATGGAATAACAGCCTCTGGATTCACACTAAGAGAATACAGACACCAGTCTCTCCCTAGAACGCGTACTGCAGGAGCCTATATATATAGAGCTCATAGAAAAATATATTTTATTCTCATAAATATATCACGATACCCTTTATTCTTATGAATCTTATGCACATATGATAGAATAGATGAACCTCACTCCTGACTTGACTCAACCCTTCCATTTTTTATTGATATTGTTCAACCATATTAAAGTACTTGACAAATTTAAACATTGTTCAATGATATCAATTTCAACATCCTAATCTCCATGATGCTAGCTTTTGCACATGTTTTCTAACTGTCCAATATTTGAAAATATGAAACAAAGTTGAAGTTCTAAACTATAACATAATAGTTAACAATATTTAAAACAGAAACAAACCAGTGAAATACGGTTGACTTTGAGTTGACAGCTTCGGTTTGGAAAATGCACCATGTACATTAATAAAAAATAGGTCAACTAAATAAGAACAATCTCAAATCTTCAATCAAATTGTAGGTTATTCTTACCTGCGGTGACCTGTACTACAAACTATGACACCTAATTTTTACCAGACTTTAACCAATCGTTTGTTTTGTGTTTGGAAAAGAGATTGGCCTCAAGCTTTCTCTCATTTTATGTATGCTGATATTCAGAGCAGAGTGTATCCATTCTCTATCCTTTTTCTTTTGGAAAAAAAAAATCATCCTTGACAGTATGGTCGGTTCAGCTTAAGTTGTTGTGAAGAGTTCAATATTAGTGAAAAGACAGGTCTTCCAAAGCAAAACGAAAGATTTGATGTAAAACGTATGAGAAGTCTGGTTAAAAGATGAAAACTAGAATAAAAGTTGGCTCAAGTATTAATTTACTCAGTTGCACATTTACTGTATACTAAAGAAAAAAAGAAGTAAAGAAGATTATGGTCTTGAGGTTTTTACAAAACCATATGATAGAAGACTTATCTCCACAAAGATAATATGCAAATTAGTAATAGTATATATATTCTATTGAGACAAAAAAATACCATTGACTAGTCTTGTGAGGGATATCAGTGATAATGTGTATAGTGTACAAGTCATTACCCATCCCACAAGAACTTGACAAATATGGTATTAAAACATTAAGAACCCCTCATGTATTGCCTACAATTGGGACCTAAAAAAGTGACAGAGAACTCTGGATGGTGCAAGGAGTGCAGATCTGAAAACCAATGTCATGGAAATTTATTGGTTGGTTAGAAGTAGAAAACCAATGTAGATTCTTAGACATCAAATTTTGACAAAGATATCAGTCTTTGACTGGAGAGGATTATGACAATAGTCTCACGTCAAGAGGATTAGAATGATTAAAATGGCAGAGAGTAAGCAAATGGCTTATTACAATATACTTGGACTAAGCATTTGAATACATGGTTAAACATAGTTATTTTATGGAAGTAACTAGAGTAGCAAGGACATTCAATGAATACTACTTGACATTGCTCAATCATGTTTCATGTGACATCCAGTGTAAGCGTAATAAGTAAATGACCATCAGTAGCGTACTGCATATATAACATTCCAATATGAATTTACAGGTTATACAGGTGCATAAACTCTCCATGACATTAGGGGGTCTAAAGCATGGAAAAACACTAATCATCAATGAACAATAGGCATGAGTTGTTTTACAAAAGTTGCGTAAAAAAAATCCAATAAGCATGCAATAGTAAATAGTCAATGACATCTTACATCTCAGATATAGACAAAATTCCCATTTTTTTAATTTCCCAAACCTTAAAAAGCTTTGTAATGTTGAACTACATTCCTATCTGGTGTATACCATGGCATAACTTTGGTATTTATTTTATCTTATATCCTTAAGAAATGATTCCTCTTCGGATTCAACTGTTGAACTAACTCAAAATAGCAAGTGAGACAAGTTTACATTTCAGTGGAGGAGGAAAAATATGAAATTCTTCAACAAATTACAGTGGCTAATACAGTAGAAACTAATCATGCTTTACCTGCTTTAGCCAGCACTCTTGATGTTTGTGTTCGTATATATCAGGTGAATAGCACCCATACTCTGATGGACAGTAAACCCATATGTTGCACTTCATTTGCCCTGGCTTTGCACGATTGGCCTGGTCTAAGCAAGCCTGACAACAATCAGCAGCACTTTCTTTATGGTGGGTAAGACCCCATCTAACAGCAGTCCCATCGTAATCAGTATGAAGCTCAGCATGGCATTCTGGAGGCAGTGGTCGACCAGGGATAATCTCTTCTGCAAGAAGGAGCATCTCAAATTAGATGCACTTAAATGCAATATGAAACAATAGTCTATACAGCAAAACTTGAAAGCAGTGTATGACTACTATCAGCTCATCAAATTTGGCAGAATTTACTACAGAATAGCACAAGCAGATGGCCAACAAAGCTGAAGATAACTGCAAAGGGAAACAAAATTACAAATGATTTTAGGAAGCAATCAATATTACCAGGATCCTGCTCATTTTCAGGTTTATCATTGTGTTCACTGTTGATAACATCAGCTGGCGTCCAGAGTCCAATCTCTTCCATTAATATTGGCCATTTAGACTCCAATGCTCGTTTCAACATCTCTACAAACAGCAATTATATAATTTAGAAACAATTATATGAAGTGCATTGGCATCCAAAAGAGACAACATACTTGCTTCTTGATAAGGGATACTTGAATTTGATTTTGTACGTGTTGCCCGTTTAACCTCTTCAAGTTTCTCAACACGCCATAATTCTGCTGCATCTGCTTATAGTGTCTGTGTTAAACTAAAATCATATGTGAAACATAGACTAGCATTATTTAAAAGTCTCTGAGCTAAATTGTATAGTCGGATATATCACTAGTGGTCATGCATAGTTCTTCAACAAGCTAGTCTAACCTAGGCAGTACAAGAAACTAACATTTAGGATAATCTTTGACATTCTTCCATTCTCAGGTCCTATGGTCGGATATGTTTCCTTTATAGAAAAGTTCATGTCTCATGTAGGAAGAAATTAAGAATATTTAGAAGAAGCAAACAATCAGATTAAGTGTAGCACAGCCACAATTCCCCAATGATTAGTTGAATGAGGAGATGCCAGTGAGAGCACAATGAAGGAAAACAAGTGCATATTTGATTCTAATCAAATATGACTAGATCTGCATTACTATGCTACACAGACAAGAAAATCTCTCACAAAATTCAAATTTTCAGACCCATATCACTGTGTGTTTCTACACTAGCAATATCACATTTAATTCTGGTAGTCTTCTAAGGGCAATCATGTAATTTCCATTCAAATAACACATCTTGTATTCATTTACAAACGGGTTAGGGATCTTGGGTTTATTATTCAAGGAAAGGGGAAAATAAAGGAGATGTAACTTAAACACCTAATGCACATCGAAAGGGCCATCTAGGCATTGTGTAAATTTTGTAACCTTTAAGACCAAAAGAAAAATCATAAAACACGGATATATGTCCAGCTATATATTATGTGACAATGCTAGATAGTAAAGAAACAACATACTCAAAAAAGCAATATGTTACCAAGATAAGGATGTTAACATCGAGGTATAGAGTCACAAGGAAAACTTATAACAAAAACACATGACATGCAATTACTGGTGGTGAAAGGGAAAAATAGTTCAGGCATCTACATGAGTTAACAATAGTTAGTGGTGCTAGGAAAGGTAAATGAAGACACAAGAAGATTATACTATAACAATTAGAAACAAATTTTATGGCCCCTCATTTTGAGTAGCAATGTTTCCATCAGCAAGCTCAAAGGGATAAAATGATTCATATAATCAAATCCCAATTAGTTGCAATCTACAGCTTGTTATTATAGTTGTAGTTTAAAGTCTAAACTTTCAAATACAGTGTGCATGTCCTGAGCATCCACAAGTGAACAAATAGAGAATAATGGAACCAAATCCTGGTATCACCATTACCACAATATACAATGGAAACAATTAGCTATTCTAAACAAAATAGACATCTTGTAAGAAAACATTTAGAAAAAGAAATAGATTCCTAGAGGTATATCGGAATGCATATATTCAACAAGACAAGTGTTGCATTTGCAAGCAAATAAAGCAGCCAATTAGATAAAGTACTTTTGATTAAGTCATCAATGCCTTCCCAAAACAAAACCTTCATTCCAGCATCCTCTGCATAAATAGAATGGAAAAGGGAACAACTGTCCCTTCGGTAAGGTCCAATGATGTTACTAGATTAAGAACTGTGATGTGGCACCTTACCATGTGATGTTAAACCCTAATCAAACTGAGGACTGGAACAAAATTCTGTCAGAAATTTAAGATACTTTAAGATGCAAAAACAATCAGTTTTTTGAAGCTCTTTATTTACTTTTCATTTTTTTCTTTTCATAGCTGACAGAACGATCAAGTAAGCTCTCTGTTCCAGTGAACAAGTGAATTAATCAACAATCATCAATCAAGTGTTGATCAAAAACATTTAACAAACAAAAAGGATGACCACCTCGTTGTTCTGTCACGTTGGTATTATTAACACTTTGCAAGCTATGCAGAATCTCATAGACCAGCTTTTGCTTCAGCGATCGTGGCAACTTCAATCCCCTCTTCGCTTCTCTGGAGAACTCCTTCGTCAGTTTTCTCACCTATTCTTATCCAGAAAGAACAGAGACGTTTCATCCATCAAAGCCGTAATCCAAAACATATAGAAGACAACTTGAACTTACGAGCTTACCGCTTTAACGAGCTCCACAGGCTCCGCTTCTCTTCGAATCTGAATCGACTCTTCTATTCTCTTGGTCTGATCCACTAGAAATTCCAGAAAACAAAAATCCGCAATAAAACGAAAGGAACCCCCAAAAATAGGTCAGAATTTAGAATCTAAACGAGAAAGGGTCCATCTATGCACCAGAGAACGGATCACTGATGACCCTAGAGGAAGAAGCAAAGAAAAAAGAGCTGTAGAACGATCGAAGCACGAGGAGCGCCGCGACGATGTTGACGCAGCAAACCATGACGGTAATCCGCTTGAAGGAGCAAAAGCGTTTGCTGCCGCCCCTCCCCCACTCCACCGCGGCCCTGGCCATCCCTCCACCTTCGCCTCCTCCGCTTCCGCCGTCGCCGCCCTCATGACATCGTCGCTCCCCCCTCTTCGACAGGCTTCGGGGGTCAGGCGATTCGGTTCTCGCTTAGTGTTCACGCAAAGAGAGGGAGATGGAGATTGGCGATCGGTGGAGCGGCAATGGGGGCGGGACCGAAGTGGGTACTAATCCGTCCCCGCCGAAGAATCTCGCCGTCCAGTGACGGGATCGCGCCTTGCTTCCAGTGGTGTGAAGAGAGAAAGCGAGAACGGTGAATGGAACCCCAAATAAGAAAAGCTGCGACGAGAGCCAGAGACGAATTAATTAGGCAGGTATAAGATAAAATAAACAAAAAGAAAGTGTTTTTTTTAGAATAAGCAAAAAAGAAAGTGTTTCGGAATTAAATAGGCAGGTAATAAAATAAAATAAACAAAAAGAAAGTGTTTTTTGGAATAAGCAACCAAGAAAGTGTTTCGGAATTAGATCTTATTCTTCCTGACGAGGTGGGATAATGTAATAAATAAAAGCGAAGGTATCTGCGTGGTCATATGTACGGTCGTACGCAGGGTTCACCATTTATACGGGGAAGAACAAGAGCAAGTGGAACAGGGAGTGTTTTCTTCCTCGTCTCTCCATAGGAGAGGTGTTCTCTGTAGAAGATGTACAGGAAATCATCACCCATGTGAGCCGTATTCTCACCCCCGAGTTCCACGATCGGCGGGACCCGCAGCTACCTGGGCCCCGTGATCTCAATCCCAAGCCCAATCGCGGTGCAGGAAACTAGGCGGGGTCGGGAGAGCGTGTACTTGATGGGTATAAAAAGGTGTGTGGCGGTTCAGGAGAGGGTCCGTGGTCGTCGACACGTGAGACGCGGAACAAGTCACGAACATGTCTTAACTAAGTAGTGAAAGCTTTTGCGTTCCATGAGACACGAGTCGGGCGCCGAAAGTGGATCATTCAAAAGGGCCGTTCTACAGCGTTACCCAAACTATTACATGCCTCGTAATTGGAGCCGAGATGGCCTCACGTGTTAGGCCATGTGGGCCCTTTCACTGCCTGCAGTCACATGGCAAAAGAACCTTTACGACTGTCTCTCATTACTCCGCTTTACCTACCTGCCTCGTAGTTGGAGGCACTGCCAGCCCCACATGTGGGGCCCTTCTCTGTAGATGGAAGCCCTCTTTTTCTTGGATGATTTTTGTTTTTATTTCACATATGCTGGATATGTTATCATTTCTTTTGTTCCCACTTGGGGTTGCTTCATGAATCAATTTCCTAAAGAGTCATTGCAGTGTCATCGTCACATCGACAGCCACGTTTTAGCTTAAACACCAACTCTCTCTTTACTTTTACGAGCAGATGACGCCCTCCTTAGTTGCATTAATCTATTCGAGTCTTGGTTCTAAAGAAATGTAGACGCAACACCGAAACTTACTCATGCTTTCGAACTTCCATATATTCCAACTACTGCTTAGTTGTTGTTCCTTTGTATAATATGAAGAGCTCAGAGCTGTTTCCAAAGCGCACCTTCTTCCATACCAAGCTGTACCTCCTTATTCAAAGGGATTTAGATCTCCGAGATCGAGAAAAGAAGAACAGGAAAGCCATTTCAAACCAGGTCGAACTTCCACAGGAAGTTTCATGTAGAGGTTTGGCCAGTAATGAGCTGTTTGTATTCTGATTCCAGAATAAATGTTTACTGTCAATGAAAGCTTGGAAAGAAGTGCATAGAATAGGTGATGGGTACCGGAAACCAATAAGGTAATGGGGTTTGAGCGCTTCCATCAGAGCGCCCATGTGCTTGCTTCTGGGTGCAAGAGTACTTAGAAGCTGTTCCCAGCTCTCTCAGCCTCTCCAAGATCGAGCTACGAGATGTATCCCTCGCTCTCCCCTCATCTCCATGACAAATATGGCATGACGATCCCCGTGCCGGTGCCACCGGAAACCCACAGCTCCCCTTACACCCCTGCAGCCATGCCCAGCCGAGCCCGCGGCAGCATCACTCCATGGTCGACCGGTCTCTGCCACTGCATGGATGATCCAGGCAACTGTAAGAATACATATCCATCTTGTATCTGTTTGCTTCGGGTTCCATCTTTCGAGTTCCTCACTGCGGTCTCTTTCTTCTGTGTCTTCTCCAGGTCTGGTCACATGCTTATGCCCTTGCATCACTTTCGGACAGATAGCTGATATTGTTGATGAAGGCACTTGCTGTAAGATCTCATTCTTTCTACACTACTCCCTCTAATTTGAGCCTCTAAACGAAGAAGAAACGAGAGAGAATGAAAACGTTGATCCTGCTCTGCTCTCTGCGTGCACAGCTTGTGTAGCTAGTGGGACAGTGTACGGGCTGCTCTGCCTCACCGGCATGGCATGCTTGTACTCCTGCTTCTACCGTTCCAGAATGAGAGGACAACACGACCTGGAGGAGGGTCCTGTTCCCGACTGCCTCATCCATTGCTGCTGTGAGCCCTGTGCTCTGTGCCAGGAGTACCGCGAGCTCAGGAACAAGGGCTTCGACATGGGTATCGGTGAGTGTAGCCTGCCCCTTTGCACCACAGTCTTCTCCGCAGCATCGTCGATCGACTAACTCGCGTGTTTGTGTGCTGTGTGTGAAGGATGGAGAGCGAACATGGAGAGGCAGAGGCGTGGAGTCATGCTTGCTCCTGCCATGGGAGCTCCTGCAATTGGTGGCATGAGAAGATGAATGCAAACTTCGTCAACGTTTTGAGTTTATTGCTATGTATCTCTTTTTCTTATGATATGTATGAGGTTTACGAAGCAATAAGTACGCTGAACATTGGCGAATATGGTGATGGATGTTCTTCTCTGATCATACAACAATATAGATCAATCGACGTAGTAGCAGAATATAACATCAGATGAAATATACACACATAATTATTTCCTAACGCAGATAGGGTTATCGAACATGTAAAGGATGATGCTGCACTCGATACGTAATATGAATTATTGGGGATTGAATGTGGTTTGTATGTCACTTATCACAACATAGCCAAAAATAGAGATCGTCAATCGACATGGTTGGCATGTGTGAACGATACATAAAAAGAGTAACTAATCCAATCCGAAATTGTTCGAATTCGATCCGATTTCCCCCAATTCTTAAACCCGACCCGACGTGGATTGGACGATGGGGAACATTTCTTGATCCGACCACGTCGGACGAATCATCACCGCTCCTGTTGCTTGTGTGACTTAACGAACGATTGAGATGCCGGAGCGGAGTGACTATTTCTAAGTACCTTTGGAGAGGATCCTTCAGTACAATAGACTTCGAGTCCAAACCCGCTCGAGCCCTATTTTGTACTACTATTACTCTGCTCCGATGGCTAAGCCCATTGTTGCGTGAGTCGAAATCCACAAGCGAGAGCAAGGAGGAGGAGGAGGAGGAAGAGGAGGAGAATGGCTCCTCTCGCACCCAAGACCGGGGACGCAGTCTTTGCCAGCGTCGATCGCGTGGTAAGGTCGATTCAACCCTCAAGAAATTGCGGTCAAATTGAAAACCCTAACCGGCGATTATTGTTGCCCTAATTCTTCTGTGCCTGTTCCGTTGATGTGGTGTCGACGATGATCTTGGCAGAATGCGGAGCTGTTCACCCTGACGTACGGGGCGATGGTGCGGCAGCTCCTCACGGATCTGGAGGAGGTCGATGAGGTCAACAAGCAGCTCGATCAGATGTATGAGAATGTCTTCCCCTTCCTTCCACCCTCGTCTTGATCTTGTTTGCTTTGCCTTCCGTCTTCATGAGGGAAATCTGCGAATGAACTTGGCGATCTTGTGAACTTTAATCTTCGATCACAAGATCTACCTTTGGTTGTTATAGGTATTTGTTGGTAGGCGGAAAGCTCGACTCAAGAATCGATGTCTCGTGCGTCGGTTGTTGATTCTTGTTCGCTGCATTAACGTGCAGTGTAGCTTGGTGGGCCAATTTTTCTGTCGGTTCCTCCCTCTTCTTCGTTCGTCTCTCTACTGTCCTCCACCATCGTCATCTCTCTTCAATCGTTATTCTTCTCCCTCTTCTGTTAATGCAGTGACCTTATCTGAAACCAATAGCTTTAGGGCATATAAGTGGTATGAAATAATTTTAATTGGAAGCTGCAATAGTCGCTTAGAGGTCATCGATCTTGATGATCTATGCTCATTTGTAGCAAAACTAGAATTTAATACCCAAGTCAACTTTAACATAATGGGACACAAAAAAGATACTATGTTACACAAACACAAGTTATGACCCGAAAAGAGCATCTGATTAAGATACCAAAGACGAGGAGGGGAAAAATTGAATAGAATTTGGGAAATGATGTTTGAGCCTATGAGGTACAAGGAATTAACCTATCAGAAGAGGTAGAGAGAACCAAAATTTGCTGTGTACTAAGACCAAACTTTGTCGTGTAATTTGTTTCTTTTTTAGAAGATAGCTCATGCACACAACCGTTCTTGCGTCATACTGCCCCATTAGTGGGTAGACCAACTGATTTGCTTAACAGATATGATCCATAATCTGTCAGTGATTGTCCAGCCTGATATTCTCTGACTCCCAAATGAATTTATGCTAGTTCTGGTTCTAAACTAAATCCTCTTTAGATTTTTCTTTATTGGAATCAAGTCATATTTATCTTAACCTCCTATTTGTTAATATTGTACTTGATGCATTTCTCATGTCTCAAATTATTGCATGTTGTGCAGGGGATACAACATTGGAGTCCGGTTGATTGATGAATTCCTAGCCAAGTCCAATGTATCTAGATGTGTTGACTTCAAGGAAACAGCTGATGTAATTGCAAAGGTGCTTCTTTTAGTTTTATTCTTACTTTTTGTACATGCTTCAATATTTAAATGACAGCTATAACCCATAGATCAATCAATGATGCAGATTCAGCTCTTAAAATTCTGATTTTTTTGTTAATGATCAATAGATATTCAATATCTAATGTACCCGAGCTTCAACTTGATGCAACCACAGTTGATTGCTGAAGTAATATATCAGTCTTTCCACAATTCCACTCTAGAGTTTTGCCACCCCTGGCTGCTTCAGAATATATTTATCACCAATTCTTTTGACAAGGGTAAATCATTCTTGCACAAAGTCATTTTAGATGTACATTAAATGCTTACATGACCTAAGTTGTCAAGTTATTAAAAGATCAGTCCAAGGCACACACTGTTAACATTCTCAAAGGATATTTACTTACTTCCTTTCTCCTTCTGTATTTTCATCTTTCCCAGCACTGTCAATGGATTTTTATATCAATTTTCTGTCTTCAAGTCAGTACCCTTTTGAAATATCCGATTTCTGTGTAACTATTCCAAAAATTATTTGGATTAGATGACCTGTTGTGATGATTTCATACTAAAAAGTAGTAATCTGTCCATGCATGTATGCATCCACATAAGCCCATGAATGTGTATATATTCCGTATGTACATGTTAACATATATAAACAGGAGTGAGTAATAGATGTTGGTCTGTATGCATAGCCAAACATGGGTATCTTGTTTCTCGTGTGAAAGTTATGCTTATAGGGCCTTTCATGAATCTGCATTTACTTCTTGTCCCTTTAGCTGAAAATGTAGTTCTTATTGGTCTATAGGATGTTATTACAACTTCTCTTATTGTTGCAGATGAAGAAAATCAACAATTTCTTAGATTTTGTTTTGTTGAAGTTTTGATCATTTGCCAAACAATTTCTTGGATTTGGAACAAAATAATGTTTAGTGACACCTTTTTCGACACCCAACTTGACACAATCACTGAAACCATAGAGAAACACATAAGAAATGAGTTATAGGTTACTATGTCCCTCTAAACCATGAAAATTGAAAATTAGCAAATATGTCCACACAGTCGGCTCTGTTAGTACACATCTTGTCAAATCATGGTTAAAGAGACTTGAATTAAGCTCAAATGGGATAATTAAAAATGGTAAAATAAAGTTGCCCTTGGACGTATGATGGCGTATCTAAAAAGGTAACAAACGTCCACTTGGAGGGAACAACGCCAACGACAGCTAACTGGTTTTCAGGAGCATTTGTGAAAGATCCATACCACCCAATTGGAGGAGAGATCTCACACAAACCAGGAAAATTTTTGAAATGATTTTGACCATTTTGATCACATACTTCCCCATCACTGATTGATCATTTCTGTTACATGTAATTGAATCTAAAACCAAGTTGAGAGAGCACTACGATTTGCAATCATACATAAAGAAAAACCATCAGATGTTGGGTAAAGATTCGTACATACTCTCGTAAAGAATTTATTAGCTACTTAAAGTGCTTATATGTAGCATCTCTCTCAAAAACCTCTAATCTATCATAAATACCTCTTTTAGGGGCATTGTGAAAATATATGTTTGTTTCTTCAGATATATTGCTGAAATTTGTTTTTAGTTTATTTTTTGTTGGGTTCCATATGTATGTAATGAATATTGCACTGGGTTCCAAAAGAAATGAACTTATTTTGTTTCATGAAGAAATGTCATTGAGCTATTAGTTACATCAAGAATGAGAGTACTTGTTAGTAATCAACTTTAGATGAAACTGTATGCCATCTATTGTACTCGGTGCTATTTTACTAAATAGTTAATAAATAATAACTTGGCTTACCTAACAAGCAACCTAGAGTGACTGAGCTTGAGTCCCAATGTGGTCAACACACATATATGCAGATAAAACATAATGACTATGTTAAAAGATTTACTTGGTTATTTGTAAGTATTTGCATTTTTGCAGTCTTAAGGTGCATTTTTGTTTGTGTAAAGTTCATCTTTTGCCACAAGCAAACCTATTGTCAACAATTCATTGTTTCCAAGTACTTGAGTCGGCTTCATGGATTCTTCTCCACCTTTATTTCTGATAGAAGTAATATCGTTCTTTGATTCGAGAGTTATCAAATCCTTTTTCTTGTTTCTTACAAAGACTTCTTTAACTGTGCTCCTGTTGGCCCCACATTTTTTTTTTATCGGGTCAGCTTGCTTTGTGAGCACATTTTTTGAGAGGTTATATTTTGCCACGTTGCATAGTCAGTTTCTTCTTTGTTTAGTTGTTTGTTCCTTTTCCAGCATATCCACCTTTACTAATATGATCTGCAACGTTTCATGAGTTATCTGATTTAGATTGAAATTTTCCTGAACCAGGTTGGTTTCAAAATGTTCTTAGGGATCACTGCATCAGTTACCAGTTGGGATGCTGAAGGAACAAGTTTCAGCCTTGTTCTGGAGGATAATCCCTTGGTAGACTTTGTTGAGCTTCCGGATACTTGCCAAGGTCTTCATTACTGCAATATCTTGAGTGGAGTTTTACGAGGAGCACTGGAGATGGTTGGTTGTCCCTTTCTTATTCACTTCTCTTGTTGCAACTCCTTTTAATTAGATATTACATGATCGTGACCCACAGGAAACTTCCTTATTAGCATGATCCTAGATATTCTTTCATAGGGATGTACACAAAACTGATTTTGCATCCGCACAAAATATCTTTCTACTGGATACACCATGCTACATAAATAGTTTTCCACCATCAAGTATTGACCACTAGTAATTTTGCTATGTGCTAAGATGAGTTTTATCATCCTGTTCCTTCTTATTTACTTCTCTTGTTTTAAACTTATTTAACTAGATATTATATGATCATGACCCACATGCAACTTCCTCATTAACATGATCCTGGAAATTCTTTCACAGGGCTGCACGCATAAAACTGATTTTGCATTTGGCATAAAGTATCTTTGACTCCTAAGTAGTATTCCGCCATCAGCTATCAACTGCAAACAATTTGCTATATGGTAAAAATGAGTGTTTGCTTGTTTCAGGTGTCGATGAAGACTGAAGTCACTTGGGTTCGGGATATGCTGCACGGGGACGATGCATATGAGCTCAGGGTGAAACTTTTGAAGCAAGTGCCTGAGGAGTACCCTTATAAAGATGACGAGTAAAATGGATATGCTACGGCAATGATTCGAGTAAAGACCTTCTGTTTTGTTTTTCTCTCGTGAGATCATCTTGCTTTACTGAAAGAGCCATGTTACTCTATATACCAACATATTGCTTAGTCTCTTTGACTTATTTTAAGTTTCCTCCATCTTAAAAATTAACCGTCCATTTGGAAAGATGAACGGTTGACATATTTTGCAGGCTTTTGATCTGTTTATTGCCTCTCCAAAAGAAATGCTATTTTAGGGATGTGCGAATGAGGTGGCCAAATAAAGTATCCGAACCGAATGGAACATAATATAGTCACGTACTGTGTGTGTGTGTGTGTAATATATATATATATATATATATATATATATATATATATATATATATATATATATCAATATCACGTGTTGTATGCTTGTAAATGTGATAGTCGTATATATGATGTAATCGTGTCTGGCGTATTAATTCCGTGAGAGATCTAATCATACCTATACAGCTGTGTAGAAACGAAGAGGTTTCTCATCATTCTTTGCTGCTGCCAGTATATGTTCAGCCCCGGCGGGTTTCATGTCGAGGTGATACTCTTGTAAATAGCGAAGCAATTTTCCGTTGCCAGCTGGTGGGTCTCATGGAGTCGATCATCCATCCACTCCATCCGAGTGGATCTCCAAGATGTGTACCAACTAATTGTTCTGTACCAACTAATTGTTTTTTAGAACGTAGAGTCTTATATTTTAAAAATTATATTGATATCTTTATAATTATAAAAATAAAATATCTAGGTTCATTTATCCTAACGATATTAGTTTTATCGATCGAAATACAAAAACAAATACTAAAAAAATAATTTTAACGTTTGGTGACAGATGACATCGGTGGTGATGGACGACATCGCTAGCATCATTGCCAATATAGTTGCCTAACTAACGTCTTCGATAATGATAAGATCCACTCTCACCGCAATGCCACACACTTCCATGAGGAGTGCGTCGTCGACCTCATTAACACTTGCCCCACATTGCTCTGCATTTGCATCAAAGTTGCTATAGTGGCAACTATGTTGACATTGATGCAAATGGTGGTGGCCGCTATGATGTCTACGGTGAAGATGGTGATCGCCTCGTTGCTAACCCCTTGGGCGGATCCCAACCTCGACTCATACATGAGGTTGTTGGAGCTCCAACTGCTCCCCCACAGCTGCATTAGTTCCGACATCACCTCTCGTTGAGCGACTCTCTCATCGCTCTGCATTTGCGTCGACATCAACACAGATGCTACATCGACGCAGATGCAGAGCGATGCTTCTTTACATCTGTGTTGACGCTGATGTCGAGTGACACTGCTCTATATCTGCATCGACATTGATGCAAATACCAAGACATTGATGCAAATACCAAGAGATTCTTTCATTACATTAACACCAATGTAAATGCAAATCGATAAAAGGGCAACTTGGCAAGAGGTGGTACCGGAACTAACATGCAAGCGAGGGGAGCAACAAAAGCTCTAGCAACCCTAGTTTTGGGTCGATGTTGGAATCCACCCAATGGGTCAGTAGCGATGCAGCTACCATCTTCACCATAGATGCCACGACGACCACCACCATCTACGTTGATGCCAACATAGTTGTCGCTCGGCAACTGCATTAGCATCGACGCAGACACAAAGCGCGTGCGAGGGTGGGTGGTGATTAGGTCGGTGGTATGCTCCTCATATAGGCAAGTGGCGTCACGGTAAGATCGAACCTTATCGTCATTAGAGGTGACCATGCAACTACAGCAGCGTTGACGCTAGCTGTGCTACCATCCTTCACCACCGATGTCATCTGCCATCGAATATTAAAATTATATTTTTACTTTCTATTTTCATATTTTTATCGATAAAATTAATATCGTTAAAATAAATAGAATGTCAATACAAAGTATAGATAGTAACTATACAACAGTATCTAATTAGCCCTCGTCATCACCATCCATATATTAGTGATGCTTGGCGCCGCTCACTGACGCGGCCAAACTCCGAGTCAGACTCAACGCGAATGAAACTCACCCGCCATCCCCTTATCCGCCCTGCCTAAAACAATCCCACGATTCTATTACATGTAACGAAAAGACAAGAAATTGCTTCGAACAACAGAACAACATATTTGCACAGCTCATAACTAAAAACCAAAGCTGAGCCCATCATCCTGTAGCTCGGCCCACAAATCCATCAACTCCTGCCCCAAATGTTGGTCCGTTTCGTCCTCTTCCCATTGCATTCCAAGCTGCTGTTCCTGTAGGTGAATCGTGGAAGACAGCGAGATGGGTTGGGTAGTCACCAGAGGTTGCTCCTCCTGGATGGGGAAATTGAGCTTCGCCCGCGGCCCGCGGAACTCGATGGCGGCCGCATCGTAGGCCCGCGCCGCCGCCTCCGCCGTGTCGAACGTCCCCAGCCACTTACGCACCGCCCGCCTCGGGTCCCGGATCTCCGCCGCCCACTTTCCCCACGGTCGCTGCCGCACGCCCCGGTACCTGTTCTCCTTCTTCTCCCCCCTCCTCTTCCTCCTCACCACCTTCCTCTTGCCATCGCCGCTGCCCTCCGACACCACCGGAGCCGGCGGACCCGCATCTCCATCCGCAGCGAAGACGGAGGAGTCGCAGCCCAGGCATCCGCCGATGCCGCACATCCCACAGGCGCCTGCCTGCGGGAGCTCGGGTGGGTTGCCGCCAACGACGCGGAGCAATGCGGCGACCATCATGTAATTCTCCTGCTCGCGGGAGACGGGGCAATAGGATGAAAGGAAGGACGGCTTACGTTCAGTACGACTCCGCAGGTTTGCGACCATCGTAGTGCGTTGATGGAGATCGGGGTGCAGCTGCTATGGGAGTGTAATATGTAGTTGTTGAGGAGTTGCAGCAAGACGAGGCTTGGGTAGGCGCGATGTGGGCGATATATAAAGGATCTGTGGAACGTGGGGTGGCGCCAGCTCAGGCTCACGCGGGGTCGATACGGTGGCGGGTGTGCACGTGGGTAAATCGTTTGTTTGGCGGCATTCACCACGTGGAGGACGCGACGGACACGCAGGCGCCAGCGTCAGAAAAATGGATGGATGACGTCATTAGGATGCGGGAAAAAGCCACGACCGAGTCGGAACTCGGGAGGCTTCACGGTTGGACTCGGTCAGACACAGCAAGGATGACACGGTTTCGGGTCGGACTTGGTTTTGATATCAAATCTATAACCCGTTATCTACGGATTTCGGACTCGTACAGATCTAAATAAGCCCCAAAATTCCAGATTGGGTTTCGGATTCGATACCTTTCCTTGGGACATGTACTACTTACTCTAAGAACACAAAAGCGGGACAATTGAATGCCACGATGACATGTTTACATTATAGATTTAGATAAATTAATTATCATTAAATTATAGTTTAATTATCACTAATTGTGTGATTTTTGATCAATGGGTACGAGATTGACCAATTAGTAACGGCTGACATGGACTTTGACTGGTATACTACGGTTGACATGGCAGCCACGCGAGAATCCTGCGGTTTCCACGCTTTTCCGAGGACAAAAGTCGCCGCCTGTGTGAATACCCCACTAGAAGCGACCCGATTCGTCGTCGGCTACGAGTCAAAGCCGCAAATCTATTATTGCCAGCTCAGCTTTGGAAAGGGCGGATTGACCGACCAAATGGAATCTGGCAAGAATCATTCATGGATCCGATCCAGTCTCAAAAGCGAGCACCGATATCAGTCGATCTGATTCCCTATAAGTTGTGTTCTAACCTGCAAATCTAAGTAATAAAATTGCAAGAAGCTTAAGTTCAATCCAGATGTTGGATGCCACATTTTCCATGTAGACAACCTCATGTTAACATTTCATACTGTCGGAAAAAGAAGAACTACTCGAAATGTTGTCACTTTGCTGCAAAACTAAGTTGTAATCCATATTAGACAGCATTGTTTGAAGTCCATCCATATCTTGATAAGAATTGCAGAGTAAGAGTACACAAACATAACCTAGATAAGTTTCTTTTTCTGGAAGTAACTCTTCAGGTGCCACAACTGCAAGATGGAGACTACAATGCAAACCCCAAGGGACATGATACTAAACCATGCAACCCTTGCGTTGGTCCGCTCGCTCACCTCCCTCATCTCAGCTTCCCTGAAAGAAAGAAAGAAAAAGGAAAAAAATCACAAATTATCTGAGCAGATTGTAATCCATAGTTTGCATGGAACCACAGCTTTTTTAAGTACCTGGACTTGAGATAAAGCAAATTCTCATGGATTGCCTGCACAGCTGCTTCTAATTTTGTCAGCTCTAGCTCGACACCCTAAATTTAGCAAATTTTTGTCACAAAGATAATGCATCTCGACTTGGAATTGAACATAATCGAATCAGGTGGACAAGGTAATTTATATTTACAAGTGCTCACCTCAATCTTTTCTTTTTTCGCAACAGAATCCCAGTCCTTTGCTGCAATTCCAATCTTCCAGTCAAGGCTAACACTCGTGTCTACTCCTTTGTCACCGCTATCTATCCAGAAACAAGCCAGGTAGTTGCCAGCCTCAGTAGTTGTGAACGCAAACTGACCTGCTGTAACATGTTCTTTGTGATGAAGCGTATTTCCATAAGGTGATGTGACCTGCACAAGAGCAACTCACTCAACAACGGTCCAAATATACGTCAGACTACCAGTATTACGAGTAATATATACAATTTCTGAGGCCTCCCTTGATCCCAACTTCTTGGTTGTGTTAATCAAGGACAAAATAAGGAGGGTTGATAAGCTCCGATCTACAAGGAATAGCAGCAAGTGGGATCATGTGAGAATAATATTGGTCCTTGGATATGAACTCCTTTTCCATTGTTTCAGTTTTGCTTGAATCTGAGAAGAAGACAGAAGTCAAAGGGTTCTTGCAATGTGAATCCTTTTCAATGTGTTTCTTTGTTGCTTGAATCTGAATAGAAGACAGAAGCCTACCTCCTAATTCTTAACATCCCATATTCCCATGTCATCGCCTCCCCATGACAATTAATGTGGGCCCCATGGTTCCACATAAAAGATTAATAGCTCCAAACATTCGAACAACCATTTCATCTACAATTCAGAGCTTTGAGTCTCAGACAGTGAAGTTAGCTTATCATGCCATGATGGTGGATGCCGTGAGATAGATCACCGAATAAGTGCATATTCATCAAAAGAGAATAGCAATGATGTATGGATACTTCGACTGCTTGCAGTGTGACTATATCTGCTACATCTCAAATATGACGCAAGATACTTCTTGGGTACACGTTGAATAATTCCTTGCTGCAACCAACTTCTATTAAATAACCATAGGGGAAAATGGGATAGTTCTACTAAGATTGGTATATCTCAGCCCCCCCAAAGAAAAGACCATTATTCTGATCCATATATACCCTCTAGATATTTGAATGGTGACTAAACTAATCACAATCGCATCTATCCTTTGAGTACTTAGGTATTCTTAAGTAACTTTTCTGCATCTTTAAAGGATCTTTATTACAGAAAAGGATATGTAATGCAAACAAAGAATGGTAACAAATGTAAAGATACTGCTAACAGAAGATAACACTGCTCTAAGTTCAATATTCAACTTCAGTTGAAATTTACAGCTTGCCAACAATGATAAAAGGCAATAATATCTACAAATATACTGTCAACCAACAAGGAGATTAAGTGCTCTAGGGAGATTATTTTCTGGCTAAAGAAAATATCTTCATGCAGGTGAGCATATTGACTCCAATGAGTCTAACCACATTAGCATAGCCTCAGTAATAGAATGAAGCTAGCTATTCATAATGCAAAAAAGAGGAACCTTAGGTTCAATGAAGTATATCTTAGCAAACTTCTTAAGGTTCAATCTATTTAACAAATAAAGAAACTCATTATTCTGTGTGCAACACATAATAGGAATGGAATTATAGGAGTGTTATAAGATGCAGTGTGTTAGAGATAGCTCCAATTGCATATGAGCGAAGCGAAGACCATCTGTGGGGCTGGGACATATGCCACAAAAACATTTTAGTCGCTAGTTCGAAAAGGTTAGTGGATGAGAGAAGGGAACATCATCTATGGACCTAAGACATGCCACAGAAACCTTGTAGTCCACAAATAAGGAAAGGTAAGCAGATTAAACTTCAAGATTTCAGGGGGAAGAGAGAGAGAGAGAGAGTACAATCCAAAAAACAAAGGTAGATATAATAAGCATGTAGGCCTTGATAAAGATAAACTAAGGGAAAGATCATGTAGCCAACTCAAGTAGTTGGAAACAAAATCTTTTGCCATAGTTGGAAGATATCTATTAAAAGATTCCTAACTAAACTCTAACCACTTTCTAAAACTATACATATCATTTATGGAGTTATATTTTGTTTCTTAAGCTTGGAAGGTGACAACACCAAAGTGCTTCTGTAATGGATGATAACATCGAGTAGTATTATAGGTTAATCAACTAGGGGCGATGCATGAATGTTTGAATCAAGCAAAAAAGTCAGTTGCTGTGAGTGTTTAAGACTGCCTTCATCTAGTTCTCCCACCCTGTATGCACGATAAAGGCTACATATATATATCTAACCCTCCTTTTTTTTCTAAATGCAAAGTGAAAAGGTCACTCTCTGTATATATGAACAGCCCTAAGATATTCATTTTTGGGAACCTTGTCCATTGGGCTGTGCTCGGCTTCATCCATGCCCAGGTGCACCAAGTGCATATATCTTCTTCGAACCCTAACCACACATTCTTATATCTTCAAGCAAATTAAACATGTAATTTGCCAAAAAGTAGACAAGAAATACTTTATGATTCATTATAAGTTAAATTCTACTAATTTGGCATACATGTTAGCCTATGAAATTTTCCTCGATGAAACATTTAATGAACCCAGCATGTGCACCAACCTTGCTATCGAACAATTTACAGGTTGCAGCCATAATTTGATGTTTTATTCCAGTATTCCTGAGCTGAACCCAAAAGTTGATGCAAAGAAGGGCTCAGCATACTCCAGCTATTCTCCTTCACACATTACATGCTCACGGTTTCCACGACTGTAACAAGTTCAACCAAACCCTAGAAACTCAAAATCCAAACTTTAAGAGCTCAAAAGTCAAATCTTCTGGATCTGTTTCGAGCGATCTAAAAGCCATTTCCATCTCCTTCACTCTGGTATTCTAATAAGACCTCAATCATCTCATATATCATTCCTTATTGATGAGAAAGAAACTCCAATCTAACAGATCAAAAAGATCGACCTCGATAGAAACCTAAGTTTCAAGTCGAATCCCAAGCTCTTATTCCCAATCAAGAACCAAACAGAACAATAGATCTGAAGTATTAGAGGAGCGGACCTTGGCGGCGATGGTGGGGAGGCCACCCTCGGCGTGGCCCTCATGGACGACGGCGTAGTCGGCGAGCACCACCACGTTGGGTTGTATCTCCTCCGAGACGCACTTAGTGCCGGAAGCCGGCAGGTTCAGCCACACCCCGGCCGCCCCCGGCGCCACCGTCAGCAGTAGCAGCGGCAGCAGCACGGCGAGCCGCAGGAGCACCGCGCTGCGCCGCCTCATCTCGACCTCCCTTCTCCCCAACTCAGCTTCTCCCCTTTCTTGTCTTAAAGGCAGAGTATTATTATATGACGACTCATTCAAGTGCTGTCGGACCAAAACACCAGTGTTCGAATCACTGCATAAATATTGTAATAAATAAAAATGGTAAAAATTAAAGAAATTAACCCCCAAAAAAGAGGAATTTGTTCGGGTAAGAAATGTGATTAGGGCAAAATTTTATTTTTCCCTTCAACTTGGCATGCAGATAATTAAAAAATATTTATCTAATTATTTTCACAGGTAAGAAACCTCTGCTTAGTATAATTTTTTCTCTCTCTTTTATCCCGACTCTTATGTTATGCTTGAACGAAGAGATCAATATCAAAACTTCGAGAGTTCAAAGTCTTTAGTTGGTCGAACTTTCTTTTGACCCCTTAAGAATTTCACCTTGATACTTAAATACTAATTCGACTTATTGATGCCATAAGTCAGATCAACACGCTTCCATTTCAGGCATAGACCTAATTGTGTCGCCCCTAACGTCTAATTTAATGACTAACTTAGGAGATAAAAAATAAAAAAAATATTTTATAAAATTTGATAAAATAATTTTATTTTATAGAATCTTATTTTAATTAATAAAAAAATAATAATATCTAGATCTGATTATTTTTCATATAAAATGTATGTAAGATTCAAATAGTATATAAATCAATATTCTCTTCGCTAATATATATAAAACCTTTATTTGATGGTAGTGTACCTGATTCACTTATTTTAGCTTAAAAATTTGAATTTCAATTCTGCAAGTTAACACTTAAGCCACCAACTCACTCATCAAAAATTTAGAACTATAAATCAACAGTGACATCTTGCAAGTTGTAACCATTTAATTATTTTGTTTAAGTAGGAATGTTGAGCAAGAATGTTTCCTCCTGTAAGAAACATAATTTATTGGCTGAACATTCCCTAGGAAGAACAACTTCAAGAAGAAACTATCAAACAAAGATATGTGAGGTTCTACTCATATTACTATAGAAGACACTGTTGGCCTTCTAAATGTTATCCCTAATTATAGTTTTATGTCTCCAAGGAGAGGCTCCCAATCATTACATATACATTTATGTATGTATGTTGGAGGTTGCTTTGGCAACTCTTATTCTATGCTTCTGCATGAGTTTGATGGTGGGAAGAGAATGGAGGTTGGCGGTCTTGTTGTTGACAGTTTCCAGGCTGATCTCGGAAGCTACATATTCTGCTATAAGTTTCATTCCAATGCCTCCTAAACAAAGATCAGATATGTGGTTTTCAAGCTTGCAAGGCATTGACCACAGTTTAGGGTGTGTAACATCTGCAATATGTATTGAGCAAGTTGATACTTTCCATTACAAAGCCCTAACCATGCACGTAGAGACAGGTCATAGGTCTTGCACGGACCACGAGGAGTACCCAAGTCAATGAAGAGGAATATGTTTTGGGTGATTGTTAAACCCCCAACTTGATCTTAACCATGCAACAGACCATTCATGTCTTGGTTGACCTGAAATGGAGCCATTAAACATTGCAACGATGAGAAGTTCTCATGTTGTGGTGAGTTAAAGCAACTAAGCGTGATGTATCCTTAGGAATACTCATGTTGTGGTGGTGACAAGGACAGCAGCCTCAGAATTCCATGGCGTTGACTGAGGATACTTGAGTCTTTGGCAGCTGGATGGATCGATGTTTGTCTCCTATAACTCCCCATTGGTTTTGTTTTGATAGATGGAAAATTAGGCTATGGTCATTGACTTCATTGTCTTGGTGGCATCAGAGAGACCGAACGATAAGGAGGAATAGAGTGTGGGCATCGATTAGAAGAAGAGCATGTCAGTGAAGTGGAAGAGGGAGGAGAGGATGATGCAGATAGATCTGTCCCTGGAGGCAGCAGAAGATGAGGAAAGAGCAGTAGAAGAGGGTGAAGATGGTGGTCGTCTGGTGGAAGAAGAAGAAGAAGACAAGGAGGAAGATAGCCATCGGGAGGAGAACCAGAAGCCCGTAGATATGATCAAACATGAGGTTATCTCTCTTGTTTTGTGTTCTTCCCTTCTGTTACGTGTTATGATTTGGCTTTTGGAGTTGATGCAGCTGTGCATGTTACAATCTGAGTTGGATCGCGTCAAGGAAGAGAACAAGATGCTGCGAGCGGTGGTCGATCGCAGCCGGAAGAGCTATTACGAGCTACGGATGAGATTTAGAGACATCCTGCAACAGGAACAGCTAAAAGTAATCATTCCCCTCCCCTTCACATTCCTCCAATATCCATAGTTCAACTCTCCTGTGAATTCCAGGTTTCTCTTTCGCTTGGAGCAGAGAGCTCTCAAGATCCGAAGATGGTGGTGGCCGATCGGGGCATTGACTCAGACGACGCTACGGAGTTGAGCCTGTCTTTGAGTCTGCAAACACATGCAGATCCACATGAAAGAGTGGATGCGAGGGCGGAGAAAGGTAAGGGTTCGAAAAGCTCGGCACCACTCCAAGATGCGGCCATGATCACGAGTCACAGCATCAATCCAGCCACCAGAAGAACTAGGGTTTCAGTGAGAGCAAGATGCGAAGGGCCTACCGTAAGCTCCTCTTTTACATGCTACCCCAAGTTCATCTTATGGATCCGAGCTAATCCTCTTCCTCCGAGAGATCTTACAGATGACCGATGGATGCCAATGGAGAAAGTATGGGCAAAAGGTTGCCAAGGGGAATCCATGTCCGAGAGCCTACTATCGGTGCACGGTCACACCAGGATGCCCGGTCAGGAAGCAGGTTAGCAGAACTGTTCTTCACGAAGGAGTTCCAGAATTGGTGTGAATCAATCACACTATATGATCTTCCATCGAGCAGGTGCAGCGATGCCTGGAGGACATGTCGATACTGGTGACCACCTACGAAGGAACACACGACCATCCCCTACCTGTTGCTGCAACTGCACTGGCTTCCACAGCAGCAGAAGCAGCAGCAAATCATATGCCGATGAACTTGGCAGATTCCTCATCTTCCATTGTAGGCAGCATTCCTAACCGTGTGCCATCAGCTTCCTTCAGCTCTTACCTAGCGAACTCTTCTCCAAATCTACCAACCATGGACGGGTTGGCAACTTCTACCAGCTATTCCTCCAGCATCTTCGGTGGAGGCATCAGCCATGGCTACCCACACTGGAGCAACTTTGGATCAAAAGAATGGGGGAAGTACCAGTAGAAGTAGCAACAAGGTCTGGGTTTAAGAATAGACATGTCATGACCATGTCAGTGTCATGCTACTTGATTCAAGTTCTTTGCTTTGTCATCATGTTTGGCATAGTCCATGAATATTCTGTAATTAGATCTGTCACTATAAAGAAGTTTCTGCAGATTGGAGTTTTGGATTTGAGAAGCACATAAAAAGGCCAGCAAAGTGTTGATAGTGAAGAACTGTAGGTGTTTAGATTAAGAAAATGATTGTAAATATTAGTTGATAAACACTTTTAAGCTTCTATTTGTCAGCTCAAAAGTTTGAGTCAGTTTTCTCCACTGAGTTTGAAATGAAAATACAGTATTAGCATGTTGGACAAAACCCTAAACATATATAAAATCATGTTTAGAGGACAAGCTTGTATAATCTAGTGTTTAATCAACTTAGTTTCCCTGTTCTAATGCAATTTGAAGTTTCATAATTAGTAGTCCCAACATCAAAATATTTTTAGGATTTATAAAGCAATGACCACAGTTTGATCCTATAAATCATATGACATCATGTATCATGTGTGATATAACAATTGCATTTTTGTTTTGGAATGCATAATGGATCCCAATATGAAAGATTCATTACTCTCATACCAAATTATCATGTCATATATAAGATAAAAAATCACATACTAAACCCCCATACACATCACAAGCCTTATCCATTGACATAACTTCCTCATTTCCTTTGTATTCTTCTTACAATTAACTCCATCGTTGAAACAAAAATATCAATATTTCATGTACGATCAACAAGAATGTTTTGAGCTACACGTTAGGTCATGTCAACGAATCATGTCTATTGCATTGACCATCCAATTATGCTTCAATTATGTGTGACAACTGTTAAGGATGTGTCGTGAGTAACTTGGTTCTTGTGTTCATATTCATTCGAGCTATTAAGGTTTCCTTATGTCATGCATCTTTTTGACTTTGGGGGACATCCGTAGAAAATTAGTCATTGATTGATAATACGAACAAATAAGAAAGGATGTTTTTGGTCAACACATACTGTGTTTTGTTCTTATAAGGCTCGGTTGACTTAGACCTAATGGTATGGTCGGTCTCGTGGACTCATCACATGGAGTTGGATGACTCTTTGAACTCTCCAAATTAGGGGTCCAAGTCTTCGTTATGTTGTTTCAAAGTAGGTATTGTGAAATCATCAAAAAAATGCACCTAAGATTGTACATTTTATCCAAGAATTATGGAAAGAAAATTCGAAATGAAATCACAAGGATAGATTATGCACCGAAAGAAAATTTGAACAAGAAATGTGAAGATCCGAGTTGTGTATTTAAAATGGATTAATATCAAATTGTATAATCAAAAGGGCGAGTAGGTCAAAGGCAGGCACTTAAAATGAATTAATATGTGTGAAAGATGTGTAAGGATTAACATAGAAAATACTAGAGAGGTTAGTACATTCATTCCATAAGTTAATAGTAAATTCATGAGAGATGTAGTATAGTCTTGAACTATAATACTACTGAAGTGGATTAAGGATAGATTAATTTACGACGATGTGGATTAAGGATAGATTAATTTATGATGATGTGAAAGGTATACTCTTTTTTATTTGGGTTTAATTAATTTAAAAATCTTTTTGTCAATATTCAACATTATGTTCGCTCTGATATCAATTTTTACAATATAATCTTTTTTACCTTCTCAAGCCTCCTATACACATCATCATAATTGGATCTCTTTTTCCTACGTAAGCCTTTTATCATACTCAATATTACGTTAGTTTTGATACCAATGATCGCAATATGATTCGATAGGATAGTTGATATAACGGCTTCGTTGATCTTGAATCACGGGTGTAGATGTTTAAAGCAAAGTTAATAATAGTATAATTCTAACTCTTTAGACATAAATAAAATGATCAAGGATATTAAAATAATCGACACAAATGAAACAATATACAGTGGCTCTCTTAATAGTATGTAATAATAAAAAATGCCGTATATGGTATCTGCACTTGTGTACATACACATATTTGATATACATGTTCATGCATCCTGCTGTAAATGATTGCATGATTGCCCCATCATTGATTTCCACTAATGAATTTAAATTAATCTTTGTATGGATGCATGTATAGCAGCAGTCCATTGACAGTTTCCATCAGAAGAATCACACTTGCAATTGAGCTAAATTGAAACATATGATATGATCATCTGAAAGCATATGTAATACTTAAGGTTATGCCACTAATAATAACATCATATAATATGAAAATACATAGCATGCCTTTGGAAAAAACACAATATAAACTATTGTTTCCATAGAATAAGTAGAAAATAACTCTGCATCAAAATTATTTTTTGAGTGAGATCACAAGAGTTCTCAGCTTGATTTCTGCAATATACAAAACATGATCCATAGGGAACCTTTAGAAAAGAAGTGAAAAGAAGAAAATAACAATAATAAATCAAATCTAGGAAGCTAAAAAGTATCTGACCTATAGGTGACTGCTTCCATGGATATTATGCTGCAGGAAAGCAAACGAGAGATCTTCACACTGCGCACTGCCCATCTCTCTCTCTCTCTCTCTCTCTTCCATTATGCTCGATCTTTGATCTGTCTACATGTTCTATGTAACATGGCATGACGTTCCATCAAAACTGCACTACGAAATGTATAAAGAGAGCGGAATCTGTCTTATCTCTTACTTCCTTTCGTCTTCCTTCTCGCAGCATATGACATGTTTACGTGCTTCTTATGTAATCAGATATGGACGTTGGCCAGCATCTGGAATTCTTGGCCACATGATTGACTTCGTCAGCTTTCAGAAAGGAAAAATATCAGTTGCAAGTATAATCGTTTTTCGAATAGTAGGAAGTAAAAAAAAGAGTTATATTAATTTATATATATATATATATATATATATATATATATATATATATATATATATATATATATATATATATATA